TTTTTTTTTTTAGTTGAGATATGAAGTTTTTTTGGAGAGGGAGATGGACATTGAGATGGAGATTTGGAGATTTTGAGAGAGAGATGGAGATTTGGAGTTATTCTCGAGATTTGGTGAGAGAGATGGAGATTTTTCAGTTCTTTTTTTAAAAATGGAGAGAGAATCCTATTTCCCGAAATCAAGATGCAGTTAATTGCATTTAACGGTTAATTACCCATTTTAATTATTGACTAACGTACTTATGAATAAAAGTTTTTTAAATCGTATCTTTGTTATTATTTTTTGTTTGGAATGTAAAGTGCGTAAATTTCTCAAGTGTGCTACCAAATAAATTAACTTATTAATTTTTCCACATAAAAATACTTAAGATACTGCAAACTTACCCGGGCGACAGCCCAGGTAAAACACAATTTACTTCCGTCTTTGTCTATAAAAAAATATTCTGATGACTCTATAAAATTTTTTTGTATTAGTTGATTATTGTCCCGATAAAGTTTAATTTCTCTTAATAATTGATTCTGGCACAATAAATGAGATTGTGCAAATGGAAACTATCTTTATTTGCATCCAATGGTTATATTTGTACTTTATTTTTCAGCATTGGATTGCAGTTTTACATATATTGCAATATATGAGAGACCTTATGGACGGATATATGGAAGATCATGAGGGAATATATTATTTAACACCATAAAAGACTCTTATCAATATAAATCCATAAACAAATCCCGCCCACAACATATCAAAAAAAGTACTCATTAAATTTGCCAACATAATACCATAAAATGATTATTTAATTTTCAAATTTAGTTAAGATTTTTTTTATGTGAAACAATTAATATTTAAAAATAATCATACCTTTATATAAATATAGAGGCGATATAGATTTGTTTTAGTGGCATTATATATATACCAAATATATTATACGTTGTCAATATATTACATATTAAATTTAAACCATGAAACTTATAAAGGTAATAACCGTAAAATATTTGACTAAAATGATTCTATTGATTAATTTGAATTTCAAATAATTAACCGCCACTTTTCAAAAAATTTCAGAAAAAATTACTATTAAGAGTAAAAACGAACTTTCTTGGCGGGATGTCAGCTGCATTTTTAGGTAAATGTCAAACCTATATATATATATATATATATATATATATATATATATAATTACTAGCTAATCCTATTTAATAAAACATTTAATAAAAATATTTTTACTTTCCCTCCAAAAAGAGTTACATATTTTTAATTAATTACCCATTAATCCCACATTTAAGAAGGTTTTTTTAGTTAAATCTAATTAGTTAATGGCTAAATAAAAAATATTTCTTTTAGTTAATCCCACATTTATGTATCTTATTTTCATTTATATATATTAATGTGGCAATCATTATTGTTGTGCAGAAACTATATATTATTATTTTATATTCCATTATGAATTGAATAAGTAATTAAAGTTAAAATAAATATTAATAAATGTAATAAATACAAACATTATAATACAGATCATGTTATATTACAATATACAAAATGAAATTATTTTTTTGTATTTAATTTCCAGCCATACTCCATCAAACATATAGCTGCAAAATAATAAGAAAGATTAGTTTCATAGTTAAAATAAAAATTTAGCTCCACCAAATGGTAAAACCTTATAAATTAGTAGTATAGATACATTAAATGACATATAATTTATAAAGTTGGACTATACACATAATAAGATGAATTAAAAAAATTAATGAAGTAAATAAATAAATTAACAGTCTATATAATTATTATAGCAAAGTCTATATTGTCAATATTATCATTTAAAAAGTTCACTGAAAAAACATATGTATAAAATAAATTCATATGATCATAATTAATAGAGCAAAATTAACTATCTTTGACTTTCCATTTGGTAGTAATAATAAATATTTTATATTACTACTATTCAATAAAATGCATGATATCTGCAGATTTGATTATAGCAATCAACATTCTATTTTATAAATTAAAAAGTGTGCTGAATAAATTGTCTCATATTTTTCATTAAAAAAATTTGTTGGCCTTAAAAAAAATATTATTTAACAATTATAAATATAAATATGATTAATTTTCATTAAACAATTCCTCTTTAAAAACTAAAGTGGCGGGACAAATATCTGCATGATTATAGCATCAAAACATATCCAAAATATCAATATTTTAATGCATTAAAAACCATACTTTCAGCAACAGAAAAGTCATATTAAACGGAAACTGGCAAAGTCAAAGAATGAGAATTGACAAGGCATTGTATGTCATGGCATTGTCTGTAATTGCAGATTGTTTGTATAATATAGAAATATAAAGCATAATTAATAATCAACAAAAAAAAAGTCAAATCTATATGAAAAAAAAAATCAAAATTAAAAACACAACAAATTATGTGTAACATTATCGGATATTATATAATATAGAAAGAAAAATAATTTGATTTCCTATCATTATCAACACA